AAGTATACTTATTTTAATCTCTGTCTTTAAAGTGTGAAGCTTTCCATAAGTGTCTATGGTTCCTTTTCTGGTTGTTTATATACAAGAGTTAAGCTGTAACAAGTTAATTGCTAGCATGTCTAATAGAAGCAATGGTTTAAGGTAGTGAGACAAGTGTTTAGTTCTTTTATGGTAGTTGTCTGTCTGACTGATATTTTTAGGTCTTTTGAATGGCTCCAGTTAATTGAATGCAGTTTCAGAGTGGATTGATTTCTCTAGTTTCTTGCCAGGCTTTAAAAAAATGGTTAGAGTGGAGGTCTGGAGGTGTTACTACTCAGAGTGCAGACTTCAACGTACTTCCCTTCTTGTCAAGATTGCAACCTTTAACTCAGTAATGCCACAAGTTTGACCTTTGACTGGACAAATCTTCAGCCTTAGCTGAGCTGGAGGAGGATAAATATTTACATGTGTATGCTCCATGCAGGGAACGTGAATCTAGGGACCTAATCGTTTCTCACATAGACCTTAAACAAATCTGTTTTTAGCACCATCCATACTCATAACTTCAAAGATTACAGGTCTCTCAAATTCCTGAGCTTTTCTGAGTTTCTATAGAATGAATCAAATAGTTTCTTATTGGCATTCCCTTGACTGAACTTTCTTTTATTAGTTTGCTAAGTCAGTTACCACTGTTCCACTTTCAAAACTGTTCACTTTCTCTTCTCTTGTCTCTTTTCCTGTCTTTGTGGATTTACTCCATTTTTATCCTTTTGCTATAATCTCAGTTGGGCTTTATGAAGGAGCAGTGACAAGTGTTTGCTACATCTGTTATGTTTATTAGGAGTCAGTACAAGAACATCTAAAGTTCCCCAGGCTCTGAACGATGGGAGGTGGTGGGCTGAGGTGTCAATCAAGTTTATGCCATAGAAACAGAAAACATACGAGTTTATCTGTAGAACTGGTCATCCTATCTACTTGATTATTAAAACAATCCTTTGTTGAGGTCATTGGTTGGTGAGTTGTTAAGGGACAATTCTCTTCATGTTTTCTGCCTACTCAGAGAAGTCGGTCCACAGATTTTAGTCGCCATGCCTCTGTGTTACCAATTTTTCTAATCATGTTATTTCCAAGTCCCCGACTATCCAAAAAACCATTGAATTGGTAAAGACACATAGTCTAGATATTTCTTCGCCTGAGAAAAATGAATAACAAAGTGCACTACTTGAAATCCTGTCCACTGACAGGTTTCCTTTGACCACTGTCCTTCAGGGATGTGTTGGAAAGGGGCTGTAACGTGTACCTGTCCACTTTGGGGTAGTTCCTGCATATCTGCAGACCCACTTCTAAAGGAGGTCCATGTTTCTCTTTCTCACTCAACTATAGGCAATTCCTAATGAAGCCATCGGTGGGGGCTGGGAAAGAGAAAGTGATAGGTTTCTAATCTCAGAAACCAGAAAGGGCAGTTCTGCCCTGTCTGGAAGGTGAGGCTGATGTGCTTCTTCCATGTGGGCTTTGTTGCTTCTCAGCTAGATGTTGACTTGCTTATCTTCAAGCCTTTAAGACCCCAGATGCTATATCTTTTGATTGCAGGGCATGATAAGCTTTCTTCACCGCATTTGCTTATGCACCCATTTTGTCTTCAGTGATCGTGTTGGGAAGGTGAGCGTCACACAATGCTGGATTGTTACAACAGGAATCAGAAGTCAATTGATTAAATGGAGTCCTGTTTAAAGCTTTAATAATGAGTGGGAGGGAGCATTAGTAGTTTGTAAAAAGCTCTTTTGCC